CGGCGCCTCAGCCTCAATGCCTTTGACCTTAACTTAGTGTCACATGATGGTCATCATCCAGTCAGAAATTAGTAGTGATTTCCAGAAGATCTTCTCCCAAAAAGTAGCAGCTCCTAGTACTGAAAAAACTGTACATTTAGGACTGTCTATCTATTGTGAGTGATATTTTTTGGGGAAGAGAATGGTGCATCTCCTGTGCTTTCTGCTATCTTTGTCGTTGTGTCGAGCTTCTCCTAGGCTGACTCTTCATGCAGATGGTCGCTGACACACATAGACTCAAGCACAGCCACTCAGAGTGCTGTGGGCGGGCGACAGTCCTGCGGGCCCCACAGGGGGGAAATACAGCAAGCTGTATGGACATTGGTGTCAGGTGTCCTGTCCCCCCCCTTCCCTCTCTCCGCCCCAGACTGGTTCAGCGTGGAACTGCGGCTGACCTCCATGGAAACGGGACAGATGCTGACGAGCACCGAGATCAAGTTCTACAACTGCAGCGTGCACCAGCTGTGAGTGACCCCTTCGAACAGGCAGTCCGCAGATCACAGAAGGCCAAGAGACACAGATCCGACCACACTAGCAGATCTTCAGCTCAGACAGAACCCGCAGATCTCAGACTAGACCAGCTAAATAAACATACCGTACGTAGGTCAGACCAGACCAACAGATCTTGCTAGCCTAGTTTGTGATGCACGATCAGCTAAAATAACAGGATACAGATATCCTGGTCCTTTGATTTGTAGATTACAGAAAAAAACATGACACTTGAGTTAGTTAACAAGGCACAATCATGCAGTGATGATGACAGCCCACACCAAAACACACCCACTGTACAGTGAGAATGCCTGGCTTCTCTGTGGACCCTACGAACAGTGCAGCATTGATTACAGCCAGCTGATGCAACAAAACCTAAGACCAATATAAACCTGTAATTAGACTATTTTTGTTTACCCTTTTTGACCGAGTTCCAGCCCCCTTAATTATGATACAGGACATGTGGAGGCCAGCAACAGAGACTGCTAAGTAACAGCGGTAGCTATGAGTCTATGAGAGCAGGAAGCAATGCAATGGCCACAACAAACATCAAATTAAAGGGACAGCAGTAACCAGGACACGTGGGTCACTGGGTTGTGTATTTAATATACTGCAAGATTCTGCTGTTTGTTTCCCATAGTGAAGTTCATGTCCAGCTCCTAATGCAATAAAGGAATGAAGGAATGACCGTGGGTATCTGCTTCTTCTGTCTTCTTCTTGGTGGTTCCGTAAGGCCTCCCTCCATGCACAGTGACCATGCAGCTTAGACTGAAACAGCCCCGTACGGCCCTAACAAGCCGGATTTTTGCCTGGAATTCTCAAAGATTTTCCGAGCGATTGGACGTCCTAGTGATGAGCGTCTGAAGCTCATCGCCTCTGTCGGAGGAGGCATCGCCGTAGTTACCTGCCATTTTAGGCATTCCTGTCACCTTCTGTTTGTAGCGATTCGCGATTCGATTCAAACAGCCGGCTGCTCCCCGCATTTCCAAAAACACCTCTCCTTCTGTTCTCTTTAACATCCCTCTCCAGCTTCCCAGCGCGATGAAGGACTTCGATCCGCGAGCGGCTCCGCCGTTGAGTCATTGTGTTTCTCGCCGAATGCGGGGCCCAACTCTGGAGAGTTGGAAGGCACTTTCTAACTCGCACGCCGTGTTCTTTCATGTCCGCATCCTCTTCTGTCTCCCCTCATTCGCGGCTCTCGAGCTGGTTGACCTCTCCCTCGCACTCGCCACCCACACATAAACACAACTGCGCAGAAATCCACGGTCATTCTCCTCAGCAAGTACAGACACACATTCGTGAGCTGTTTCCCTATTGCGGCAGGCTTGCGACACCCAGAGACAGATGGTGGGGGGCAAGGGGGGGGGGGGGGGGGGGTGTTCGGACAGCCACCTGCATCAATTACATGCAACGGCACTCGGCAGAAATCCAGCCCAGCCACATGCAATGGCTCTCCCATTACAGTGTATCTCCAGGCAAAGTTAACCTCCATGATCCATGATGACTACATCTACGTGTCCCATCTTCTAGGTGTATCTCCTGCGTAAGAAGCTCTTTCCGCTGCCACTGGTGCAAGTACCGCAACCTCTGTACCCATGATCCGAGCAGCTGCTCTTTCCAGGAGGGACGTGTCAACTCCTCTAAGGTAGCGTGGGCTATCCTATGCTAATATAAACCACTCTGATATATGCTACGCTAACCTGTGTTCTGCTACACCAGGCTAAACTGCACCAAGTTATGCTACGTCAAGCCGTCGTGTCGTTAGCCTTCCAGCATTAGCAAGGTAATACAGTTAAATGCGTATATAAGAATCATACACTCAGATAGTGAGTGGTTTGTGTTTGCGGCTCTTTACTTACTGAACAAAAAAAATAAATTACATTTACGATGTTCAGTCATAATTATCAGTAAAGAAAATTTACCAACTAGCATTGTCGTGGTTAGCTCTGCCTGGGGGGGAAATTCAGAAACCAGACTACACACATTCGCATTTAATGCTACCGACTATGGTAATGAATATAAGGAGTTCCTAGTTATCCAGGTAATATACAGACCCCTCCCTACGTATCCTAAAGTCTGAGACTTGCCTTGACTTTAGATTTTCTTTGTTTGGCTTTTTTTGTAAGCTTGTGCAGGGTAGATTTCTTTGATGGCTGAGATCGCTAATTTATTTGCTGTGAATCAGACATTGAAGGGCAGCGTAGATTTGCTGAAACTGTGGATCAGGCTTTGGGGACTGGATCATGTGCTGGCAAATTTGTTTCCTCACTGGCTGTGAGCGGATAAGTATAACATTCCTTCCTGGATGACGGTCTTTAGTGACGGTGTGTGCTGTGTATGTTCCCACGGTGACCGGTCCTTGTGCCCCCCCCCCCAGGCGTGCCCTCAGGTGGTACGGTCCGGAGAGCTGCTGATTCCAGCCGGCGAGGTGCGACCCATCACGCTGCGGGCTCAGAACCTGCCGCAGCCTCAGTCGGGCCAGCGCGGGTATGAGTGCGTTCTCCAAATCCAGGGGGTGGCTCACCGCGTGCCCGCCCTACGCTTCAACAGCTCTAGCGTGCAGTGCCAGAACAGCTCGGTAAGGACCCTGCTCCCCTGGTAACAGTCTCACTCGCATGCCCTTACTATTCTTCTTTAGTTTCAGCTGTCAGTCAATAATTCAGCATGAGGGTCCTTTCCTGTGGAGCTGATTACACCATTTAGCCCACCTTAGCCCCTTCTGCCTGCCCTCTTAAGCCAATCAGAGTTTGGGATTGCTTAGAGTCCTTCATTTCCCTCCAAAAGTGGCAGATTCAGTCCCCCCCCCACTACTCCCCCCGCCACCAGTTTGCCCTGCTTTGATCACAAACTGGATAAATCTAGTCCCTCCTTTCTCCCGAGGTTGCCCAAGAGAGACACGCTGTGATGGCAGCGCTGGGTCATTATTCATTATTCAGTAGGTCACCCCCCCCCCACCCTTCTCCCCCCACTTCATCCAGATTCAGGGAGTTTAATTACCACAGGTTACCCTTTTGGAAGTGCTGGTAAGATTACACGCTATTGACATTAAAGCTGCATCAATACACCCCTGTGGCACGACTGCGCGATGGCACATTAGTCACCACCCGCGGTGATCCCCGATAATATCCAATTGCACACCTGGCACCGTGCACTGGCACAGATGGGCACACGGGGCCCCCGGATAGCAGCCCAATCCGTGAAGCCTCCGCCATCTCTGCCTCCCCGCAGTACACCTACGAGGGCATGAAAATCGGCGACCTGCTGGTGGACTTCTCCGTGGTGTGGAACGGCAACTTCGTAATCGACAACCCCGAGAACATCAGAGGTACGGCCCAGTCCACCTGTTCCCACAGCGCCTCGCCCTCACAATCACGTGTTTTATAAACACTGCATTCAGGAGGCGAAGCGCTGAAAATGGAGGCTATTTATTCTAGAGGAAAATGGTTTTGAATTTATTTGGTGAGAAAGTGGCCACAGGAACTTAGTCGTCCATGTGAAGCATGGGTTCTGGAAGCCAACTGGAGAAGGTGCCAGTGTTCTTCATACAGTTGACTCCAGTAACCTATAAAACTGGTCCTGAAGAACCTGAATCTGTGACGGCAGCATTTTCCCTTTAAGGTCTTCACTGAGTTTGGTGTTTTTAAAGTCAGTCCAGGTGTTGATCGGGTGCCGATTGAAATATTTTCAAAAACTTTACACTCTGTCCATCTGATGGACAAGGACTGTGGACTGTGCTTTGCTGATCTACAGCATAGCACTGGAATGGCGTTGGATAGAAGGAAAGCATTTCCTCACAGTAATTAAATTACACTGCATCATGGTAACTTCAAGGTCAAGACTGGAAGAACCGACTTTGTAGTTATCTCTGAAGTCACATCTGAAGTCGTTGGAAGAGTGTTTTGTCCTCTTAGTGTGACATGAGCAATTGTAGTGCAAAAAAATAAAATAACATAGTAATGGTGAGTGGCATGAAGCTGTTATCTGAACCGAAACACTTAAAAGAAACAGAGGAAAAAATCTGTAGAGCAGCTGTTTAAAGACACGCAGGGGTGCTTTTGTTGTCATGGTGAAGATCAGCAGTGTTAGATGGGTATTTGGCATTAATACCCCCCCCCCCCCTTTAGAAGTGTATTAATAATTTTAAAATCCGACCCTACTGGGAGTGGCTTATGTCTGTTTGGGTGTGTTCTAATGTTGCCCCTCCCCCTCCGTCCCACAGTGCACCTGTACAAGTGCACGGCGCAACGCTACAGCTGCGGGAAGTGCCTGAAGGTGGACAGGAAGTTCCAGTGCGGCTGGTGCAGTGGCGAGGGCCGCTGTACTCTGCGCCATCACTGCCCCGGGCCGCCTTATAGCAGCCGCTGGCTCGACCTGTCCGCCCGGAACGTCAAGTGCACCAACCCCCGCATCACTGAGGTCAGTGACGTCCCAGCAAGGAACACATACAGTACACTGCATGGCCACATCCCAGAATGCACCTCTACTCTACATTGAAAGTTTGTAGATCTAGGTTGCCTTTGAGTGATAGCATGGTAATATCTAAAGCATCTAACCTCCATCTCTGTAAATATTCTCCCTCCCATAATTAGTGCTGAGTTCTGTCCCTCTTTTCCAGTTTTTCTTCCTGCTCCAGTGTCTACTTCTGTCTCCTCTCAGTTGGGAATTTTTGTGTAATGATAAATGAGGAAGCAGCCATATCCCAGCATCCCTTGCATGGCCAAGGCCCCCTCGTGTTTATCACTAGGCAGCTCCCTGGGTCTCGGAGCGCCAAAATAAATCCCCACAGGAAGGGGCCATCATATTTATAATGGTCTTCTGGCAGCAAGCAGGAAGGAATTTTGAGGTGTTTAGTCCTATCCCCACGAGGCAGCAAAATGTAAAAACAGACATTATGGGGACATCCCTGCAAAGTCAGCCGGCTCTTTTTTTCCATGGTGTGGGAGGGAGTCTGTGCTGTTTGTAAGCATGTGCATGTCCCGCCTGAAGAAAATCACACCTGATCTATAGTTAGGACTCATTAGGCTCCAAGATTCAGGCTTTAAATCACAGTGGCAGCTCTGTGTTCACTTCGGGGATGCGTGTGTCTGCCTTTAGATAAACAGCGACAGAACATGAGGATGCAGTCGGCTGGCGATAAACACACAGGCTGAGCCAAACCTGCTGGCCTTCTAAACCGGCCCAGTTCTCCTCAGTTGTATGTTAAAATTCATCCACTGCACCAGGGCTGGCTCACTGCAGAATGTCGCTCAGATGAGGAGGTTTCTCTCTTTTTAATGAATTCAGTGTTATCTTTGTTATAAGACACAGTCAACTTGAGTCCTTCTGTCACATTGTTTATTGCAGAGCCCCACCCTACTCTGGAAAAAGAGACCAGTATTCCTCTAATGAGATAAATTCTATTTGTTTTTTTTTTCCATAGAAGGGTGAACAGCATTTATTAATGAAATCTGCAGAGATAATTATTTACGGCTTCCGCGGGCCTTAAGCTGATTTGTACGTGCTGCATCAGAATGAGTGTTTACAGCACCTGATGAATTTTTCATGCTTCCTTTAAGTCACATTCTGCTCCCCCCCCACCCCCCCAAGTCACACAAAGAGGTGTGAAGAATAAAGACTATTAAACCTCTGAAAGGTGAGGGAATGACATCACTGGGGTGGAGCTGGATGGCGTGAGTGGAGTGGAGCGTAGGAGGACGGGTCCGCAAGGGCATTGGAAACAAGGATGGTGTAGATTTGGCAAGTTCCTGCTGTCTGCCTGCTAGTTTGTCTGTGGACGCCAGTAGGCTAGAAATGAAAGAATACAGTGTGGAAGGAACTGAACTTCCAGTGTGCCTGCAGAGGTGGGCGAGGCGTGTATGTGTGACTGGAGACGGCACCTAGATGTGTCTACAGATTTGCTTTGACAGCCAGATAGATGGAAGTTTGGACTTCCGTTACATTTTCTATGGTCATGAATATTTCTGCAGCTTGGGGTCCCTGACAGGTGTCCTCTGGCTGCTGGGACACACGGGACCTCGGAAGTAGAGGACTGCTCCCTTTCTCAGGTCCCTCTCTACCTCCCCTGCTCCCTTTCTCAGTTCTCAGTCCTCATGTCAGGAGACACAACAGCTTTCATCACCCAGATGTTCAGTAGGCCTTGAGGGATCTTAGAGCTTCACCCAGAGTGTGTTCGGGTTTTCCAGTTGACCCAGTTCTTTCTATGACCACTAGGGGGTGCCTTTTACATATATCTTGAGCTGGGGGTGGGGGGGGGGCGTCTAGATGTCCTCACCTCAGAGAAAGCAGCATGTTACTGGGGAGCAGATCATCCAGCAGAAAAGCAGCCCATCCTATTATCAAGGCAACACTGCCTCCCCAACCCCACCCCCATCCATCTGACTGCATCATGCACACAGCCAGGAGTGACAGTCAGCGTCTGCGCAAAGCTGCCAGCCACCAGCCAACACAGGGAAACGCGATTGCACAGAAGGGCACGCTGCCATTCCTCTCCGCGGTCAAGCTGGGCGTCCATATTGTACTTTATTAGCAAGTCGTGAGGATCGAGATGGCGCCCGCTGGATTTATTATCCCTGGGAACAGCGGGGATAATCAGCTGCTGACGGCTTTTTTTCAATGGGATGTGCTTCGCTCTGCCACGTACACGGCGTGTTTACAGGTGCCCGCGATGATGCAAGGCTTTTATAGCTCAGCCCATCTGCTGCTCACTGACCTCTGATTGAGTCACTCGCTTTTGACAGCATCGGAAATGTCCACCATCTTGCATTTTCTTTCTCTCACTTTCTTTCCCCACCCGAACACCCCCCCC